GATAAAAGGAAGACTCAAATTGAAAACCTAAAAGGGTGATTTGGGTAGAAAAATTTTTGAGTTGAGAGTTGGATAAATAGTTCGCATGGATGAAAGGTTAAAGACATCTGAAGATCTCTCAAAGCTGAAGTAAAGTTCAATAAGCTCAAAATGACTTCAAAAGTCAATGGAATAAGTTTTTTAGAAAAAATTCAAGATTAATGTTAAGAATTGTCTAAGTATTCATTATTTGGACATTGAGATACCATTCAATACCATCTTTATTGATATGCTTTGAATTTGTTCTTTTGACCATTTGTTTTTGTACTCGCTTTTCATTGATTACCCTTTTCTCAATTCACATTATGCTATCTTATTCTTGTATTCCCATAATAAATCGAGAATGTATAAATGCATTATATTTGTCATGATTTGAAAAACTAATGAATGAATGGTAATGTGCATTAAAGATTCTTACATTCTTTTAAAAAAAAATTCCAAGATGATAGTGGGTAAAAAAATAAAAAGATTGTAGAAACCTGAAAAGATGATTTGGAAGGACACATGGTGTGACTAAATGAATATGGTGATGGATTGATCGACATAACTTGTGAGATGTGATCAAATGATGAAACTAATATGGATCAGTAGACGAAACATATGGCTAGTGCTGAGAAGCTTATGAATAGTGATCAAGTAATGAACCTAATGTGGAATAGTTGATAAAATTGAATCTAAAATGGCTAATGCTGAGAAGCTAAAAGAGAAAAAAATGAGATGATGGAGTCTTGAGATCCATATTACTACAATTAATTAGAATTTTATGACATCTGTATTACATGTATTACATTTGCATTGTAAGTTGGAATAATACATATACGTAACTTGGTTTGGACATGCATTAGCCAGCAAACATTTAAAGTATAATATATGGCACCTGCATTATTGTGAGAATCCAGATTGTTACATTTCCATCATTGATCATGACATTCATTACATATTAAGTTTTGATTTTGATAAAAGTTTGAAAGTCATCTAGAAAGGAAATTTTGAATATTTTGATGAAGTCTTTTAAGACAGGATTGTGAATCTTCAAATAGGAATCTTTGAGTTTTCAAATAAGAATTTTTGAATTTTAAATGAGAATATTTGAGATGTGAAACCTTGAAATTTATCGGATGTGAATCTTCAAATTTAAATGAGAATCTTAAAGAAGAACTCAAATGAAAACTTTTGAGGTTTTAGATGTGAAACTCTAAGATTTATTGAATGTGAACCTTTGAACTTAAATGAGTAGCTTTGAACTTTTGGATGTGAATCTTCAAATTTTGAATGAAAAGCTTTAAACTTTTTGGATGTAAACCCCAAATTTGTCAAATGTGAACCTTTGAATTCGAATGAGAAGCTTTGAACTCTTAGATGTGAATCTTTAAATTTTTGAATGAGAACCTTTGAACTTAGATGTGAAACTCTAAGATTTATCAAATGTAAACCTTTAAACTTGAATGCGAAGCTTTAAATTTTTAAGTGAAAACCTTTGAACTTAGATATGAAACTTTAAGATTTATTGAATGTGAATCTTTGAACTCAAATAAAGAGTTTTGAAAATTTAGGATGAAATCCTAAAGGTTTTAAGTGAGAAATTTTTGAATTAAAATCTTTGACATTTGGGAAGTGAATCCCTAAAGTTTTTAACTTTTGGGTATGAAACACCAGAATTCGAATGTGAATCTTCAAAATTCAAATCTTTAAATGTTGGATGTAAGTCTTGTCATTTGCATGTGAATCCCTGATCAAATTTTAGTGAGTTCTTACGAAGTTGAAAAGTTCTTGCAAATAAAAAAATTCTTGTGAATCTTTGAATTGTGAATGTTTGAATTTCAAACTCAAATTGTGAATTTTTGAGTTTTCATTACAAATTTCATTAGACATGATCTATGACTTCTCTAGATATGATTGTCGATGAATTGTATTTATCTTTTTTAAAAGTTGTTAAACTTCTGATTAGAGGAGCCTTATTTATTTTTTCTATGGTTGTTGAGCCTCTGGTTAGAGGAGCCTTTATTTTTCAAAGTTGTTGAGCCTTTGTTTGGAAGAGCCTTTTATTTTCCAAAAGTCATTGAGCATTTGATTAGAGGAACCTTGTTTATTTTTCAAAGTCATTGAGCCTCTGTTTAGAAAAGCCTTTATTTTTTAAAGTCGGTGAGCCTCTGATTAGAAGAGCCTTATTTATTTTTCAAAGTTGTGGAGCCTCTGATTATAGGAGCATTATTTATTTTTCGAAGTTGTTAAGCATCTAATTAGAGGAGCATTATTTATTTTTCAAAAGTTGTTGAGCCTCTAATTAGAGAAGCTTTTATTTTTCAAAGTCGTTGAACCTTTGTTTAGAGAAGCTTTATTTAATTTTTTAAAAGTTGTGAGGAGCCTTTACTTAGGGGAATTTTGTGTCATTTAGCAAGTTTGAGTGTCTGATTATTAAAAAACAAAAAAATTTTGGGATGACTATCTGGATAAAAAGGGTGTCTATGCTTTGCATAATTCCTGTTGCATAAAAAATATGCGAAGAAGGACAACTATAAACACTCCAATCTGTCCAGGGTTCTATTCAATTCGGTTTCTGTTAAAAAATAAATAAATAAATAAAATGAAAATTTTTTTTGGCAAGTTGAATTTATGTGAAACTGTGTATGTGAAGAGTTTAAATTGGATTTAAAGATTGAAATTAAAATTAAAAAAGAATTAAATTTTATTCGAATATAGGATTCTTTTAATTAAAACCCTATAAATAAATGCTCTCATAGACACACAAAAACACATAAAGGAATAGATAAAAATATACACATGATTAGAGAGAGGCAGATCATACAAAAAAGTAAAAAATGGTCAAAAAATATTTTAAAGATTTTTTTAGTTTAAAGAAAGGATTTTTTTTGAAAAATCTAAAAAATTCTCAAATTTTGACAAAAATTTCCAGTTTTTAATGAATTTTGTCGACGTTGGTTGAATTTTTCGGTGAACTTTTCGGCACCGGTTGAATTTTTTGGCAAGCATCCCAAAATTCGATTAAAGATTTTGGTAAGCTTGAATTTTTCGATAAACATCCGACAAATCAACATAGATTCTGGTGCTTATTTCCAAAATCTGGTGAAAGATTCAACTAGAGTTCATTCATTCTAGAGAGAGAAAAATGAGAGAAGAAAGAAGGGGAAGGAGATCTGACGAAAAAAGATTGAATTAGGCCTTTTATACCCGATCTAAAATGACATCATTTTTGCCTTAAACGGTTCCGGGATCCGTGTGTTTTTATTCGACCAACTCGACCCAAGCGCAATCCACTTCTGTCGACTCAAGTTTCGGCCGGTTCCTGTAACTAAGCCAAACCAAGCCAAGCCTCTAAGCTAAGTCGTTAAGTCACTTTCTGTGCCTGAAACTGAGCTGTGCCAAGCCACTCCAATCAAATTGTTTCTATTTTTTTTGTATTTTTATTTATTTTATTTAGTTAATTATTTATGTGTTTGTTTATTTTTAAGGTTTTTTTTTGCATGGTTAAATTTAGAAAAAAAATAAAAAATATAAAAATAAAATATGTTTTAAGAATAAATAATAAATATCCAATGATGAAATTTTTAAAAATTTTAAATGGTAAATTTCTATAAAATTCTTAAGTGAGAAATTTTTTCTAAATTTATCCCAAATTGTGGAATGATTTAGATTAAATTTAAATAACAATAATTAATATTTATTTTCAAACAAAAAAATAAAAAATAAAAAAATTTTTGTTGAAAATATTTGATAATTATATAATGATGAGATTCTTAAAAATTTCAAATGGTAAATTTTTTAAGAAATCTCTAGGTGAAAATTTTCTTTAAATTTGTCCCAAATTGTGAAAAATTTTAAATGAAATTTTAAGGAAAATAATTGTCATATATTTTTTTTTAAAAAAAAAAGAGAAATAAAAAAAATTTTAAATAAGCCCAAATGGTGGAGAATTTAGAAATTCAAAAAAATAAAAAAAATATTTTTAATTTGGCCTAAATGGTGGAATAATTAGATATATTTTCACAAAAAAAAACTCAAAATAAAAAATATAAATGATCAAAAATAAAAATAATTAAACTTTTTTTTCGATAACGAAGCCTCTTCAAAAAAATAAATAAAATTCTTGAATACTCTTGGGTTAAGAAAATATTTTAAAGAATTTTACTAGATTGATGGAGAGTCTTATAAATTATTTTCAATATTTGAATATTAAATTTTAAAGCCATTAGAATCAAGATTTTAGGATAAATTTAAAATAAAATGGTACCATCTGTTAGATGGCATGTAGGAATGCTATAACATTTCTCATATTAACTGAACTTTTAAATCTTGTTCTAGTTAGTAAAACTGAATTTATTCTTTTAAGAATTTTTAGTCAAGTTTAAGAGCTCTTTAAATGAGTAGATTCTTTAAATGATCAATCACACTTGTTAAAAAAGATTGGTGACGACTCATTTATTAAGTTTAACTATAAATTTTTAGATATATATATATTATGACAATTATTTATATGACAAATTTTAATCTTATTAAAAATAAAATTTTAACTCAATTCCAATTAAGAATTAGATATGAACTCATATTTAGCAAAAAAATTTTAATTTAATTCTAATTAAAAGATTTAAATGCATGACTGATGAGTTAGTTATAAAAATTTATTTAGTTCAAAAAATGAGATTGATTTTAAATTACATTCGATGCTTAAGATAAAATTAATTATTATATAATAAAATCAAGTATTATTAAGGTAAAATTCAAATTATATGAAATATTGATATATCATAAAAATGTGCGATATTTTATCTTCAATTTCTTAATAATTAAAACATTTTTAAAACAAATAAAAGTTTTAATTTCGAACAGGATAATTTCCCTTCCATGTGTGCAAAAAATTAGAGATTTGAGTTTTTTTGGAATTATATAGGGACAGGCATGTGCAAATACAAAATTTGACATAAGATAAAGGTACCACTATTTTGATTGGTGGAGATTTGGACAGAACATAACTTAAAGATTAGACACGTCATCCAACGTGGCAATTGCCTTCCCCAGGGAAAAAAATCACCCACACAAAGGGAAAAAAATCGCCATCTCTTATGTGATCTTAGCTGATCATCCTCGATTCATCCATGGCTGTCTCTGCACCATCTCCAGTCGCTTACCTTGGCGGAACCCAACATGCCAACTTTCTTTCCACTAAGCAGCCTCGATTCAACCCCTTCTTTCCAGCCAAAAAACCAGTAACAATCGTCTCCATGGCTTCCAAAAAGAAGGTATTTTAAGTACATGTTTGGTTCCCAAGAAAAAATCAAAACCGTTAATATATTGATGGGTTTTTTCAGGTTGTTTAATTTGTTATTATTGCAGGTAAACAAGTTCGATCCCAACTGGGAAAAGCAATGGTTTGGACCAGGGATCTTCTACGAAGGAAGTGAAGAAGTAGAAGTGGACGTGTTCAAGAAACTTGAGGAGAAGAAGGTTCTAAGCAACGTAGAAAAGGCGGGTCTGTTGTCAAAGGCAGAGGAGCTTGGCTTCACCCTTTCATCGATAGAGAAACTTGGTGTTTTTTCCAAAGCTGAGGAGTTAGGATTGCTCAGCTTGTTGGAGAAGACGGCCAGCGTTTCTCCTTCCACGCTGGCTTCGGCGGCACTGCCAACGTTAGTGGCGGCTGTAGCGGCAATAGTAATTATACCCGATGACTCGGTGGGGCTGGTGGCGGTGCAAGTGGTGTTGGCTGGGGCACTTGCTGTCGGTGCTGCTGGCTTGTTTGTGGGGTCTGTTGTATTGGGTGGTCTACAAGAAGCTGATTAATGTCCACTTTTTTTTTCTTTTGTATTTTTATATGTGTATTTTTTTTCTTTCATTGCTGTTACTACTAATTTTTGAGGTAGGTTTTAAGTTTTGGTGAATGTGATAAGTTTTTTCTAGCAATTTTTTGATGATAGCTGATGGATGATGCCGGTGGAAACCAAAGAGAAATATCAGCAAAAAGTCTTATATCCAATTGGAATAAAAAATTTTTTTTATACAATCATAATTCCTAATCATCATAAATGAAAGAGTAGGAAATCCCAATTGAACAAATAAAAGAGTAGGAAACAGCTGACCCTTGAAAACCAAAACCAGCAAAATTGCCGGAACAGTAGGCTCGATGAGTGCTGTTTGTTCTCATACGAGGCAAACTCCCTGAAACCCAAAAGAGTTTGCCGATTGGAATTTCCTGCTGTTACTTGTTTCGTCATTTTCAATGCTCCTTCCATGTTGCTTACACGCTTATTTTCTATGTTCCTAGGTAAACTCAGCAGTTGTTCATTTTATGGAATCTTGGGTGGTTCTTTTTCTCTTCTTTCACCTTGCAAATATGTTGTTTTCTCGCATCATTTGTTGTCAGTATAGTAAGCACATGCAAGTTAGTGTTTCAATTATGATGAACTGTTTGGTTGCCTAGAAAGTAAGGAACAACAACTTTTAACTAACCAGGGGGACATGAAAAACCAGGACCACAACCCATTTCTATGTCTTATTTGAGTGGAAGAATTCATTCATTCCAATATTTTCATATTTTCCAAACTTCAGATGCTCAACTTAGCTTCAGATCAATCAAGCAGGGAGTGGGCTGAGATTGCCCTTTTGTTTCTATGTTTTAATTACATATATAGTAACATCAAATTAAAAAAAAAAAACGTTTGATGAGTTGTGCACTCTGACAAATTTGTGGCAAATTCTTTACTCCATTTATTAGCTGATTGAATTGTACAGAGTGAAAGGTAACATCCATGGCTGTTGAAATGACATTAATCTCCAGATATTTAGGTTGTTCAAAATTTTGCCACCATTGCTTTTAGATTGTGTCATTGCCAATGTGAACAGATGAAGTTAATAACTCTTAAGCATTTATAACTTTTCATGCAGGAGATTTTGAACTGGAAATGGTTCCAAATTTCACTAGCTATGCTCATGCAGTCATGCTCTGATTCAACCGCATGAAGATTAGTAGTATTACATGCGTGATTCTAGTACTAATAGTTACAAGTAGAAAAGACTATCAGGGATGGGATGGGAGAAAAGCCCTAATATGGTGACAACATGACATGCTTGGCCTAGATGGAGCTTTGAAGACTCAATTCAAATGATCTCAAGCTGATGAATTTGGTTGACTTCAACTAGTAGGCATTTGAACCTTTTAAAGTTTAAATCTTTGATTAATCAGCCAAGCTTGTTGTTCTATACTTGTAGCGGTTTGCCCAGAAGAGATAATGGAAGAAATTTAGACTGCTAAGTATGCACATCAACCAGCAAAAGCTCTCTAGGTGGTAGTGATTCAAGTTGCTACCAGAAAGCCATGGTGTGTGTCGAAAGGTGCTGGTAATATTGTTGACAATTGATATAAGCACTGAGCTGAAATAGTATCCCATGGCAAGTGAAGCCCAAGAGAGGGAAGTGGCCAAAGATCTCATGCTTGTTGGGGCCTCTGTGAAGAAGAATTCCATCATGCCAGCTAAGGTGAAAAGATCAGCTGATCCAAGAAACAAGTATTGGAGAGCTATCCAAAGGAATGTGATTGGTAGAGAATCAGCAGAATTAAGTAGCCCCAACTCGACTGCTACCTTTTTTCTCTTTATTTCCACTAGAGCAGCCACAGCCATTGCAATAATAGATAGAACCAGCCCCGCTCCTATTCTCTGGAGATGAGTAATTCCCATTTCAGTCTTGGTTACTTTTCTAAAAAATGGAATGATGACATGGTTATAGGTTGATGCAAGGATCATCATGAAGATGACAGGGAAAACAGGTAGAGAAGCCGGTGGAACCTTTAAAGAGCCAATCTTACTGTTCATGGTGGCTGCTTGTTGGACAGAAAAGGAGGAAAGCTGAGCAAGGCAGCAGTTTAGCATTATGGTGCACATGAAAATTGGGATTATGCGTAGCACTACCTTGACCTCTTCTACTTGCTTTACCGTACATTGTAACATTTGGTTGACTGGTTTTCCTGCGATTGCTTTGTTTAGGAACTTGAGGTCTTCTGTAAGAGTTTGAATAGGGACCTTTACCTTGGTATTACGTTCTTCTCCTTCACTGGATTCCACACTGTAGGATGATGGGCATGTCTCCATGCCCATGACTGCATTGCTTGGATTCTTAGACTTGCAGTTGTAAATTGCTGCAGCTAGAACCTGCAGGACATGAATGAAAAAGGATTACTTGGTCAACTTGCAATGTTTTTTGTAGTCTTATTCGTTTGAGTTCTACCTTAAACATTGTGGTAATAGGGCTGCCTGCTGGAATCTTTATCCTGTAAATAGGAGAGCCAAGGAGAAAAACTGGGATGGAGGTAAGTATCGTTGCAGTAGCAATCCCGAAACCCCATTGCCAGCCTTTGTTGTCTTCAATCCACACCACAAAAGTTACTGCAACTAAAGCTCCACAAGAGAGGCAGAACACATAGTAATTGAAGAACGATGTTCTCTGCTTCCTCCCTTGTGGGGTGGTCTCATCGAATTGCTCAGCCCCATGAGGGGGAAGTGAGCCTTTTATTCCACCAACACCTAAGGCCACCAGATAAAGGCCAGTAAATAACATGGCTGCTTTGTGGGCATTAACTTTCTGGCATGGAATTTCGGTGCTAGCTAAAGCACAAGTTGGTGGCTTGAATGAAGGTATGTGAGCTTGCACTGTGAGTATTAACAGGCCCTGTTTAATGATTATAATTTGTTAAAGAACATGTAGAAGCTAAGTTAATGATATCTCAGAAAACAAAAAAAGTTCTAGCATTTGATTACATATCTATAAACTAGGGTAAATGGAGTTTTGATGGGCATCATGTTCTTTTGGTCACACTACAGTTATTTGTGAAGATAGGGAGGCTTGTATGTAGGCACATAATTTTTTTCGCTAGTAGCATTATTTAACACCTGTGTTTAATCAAGTTATCACATTGATTGAATTGAAGTGGACTCATAGATGGGGAAATTTTTTTTCTTCCACCAATCAAATTTCACCAAGAGCCAGGCAGATCAATTGGTGGGACCTAGCCAGGCCATGAAATGTAATTGTAGAATGCTAGTGCAGGCCAAATTAACACTTTCAATCTTTATCTTTCCCCCTTCCCCGCCCCTCATGTTCATCTATCATTATTGGCTGGTCTTGCTGGTGATGGAGTCATATTGTTCTCGTTGATAATGTGTTACTAGCAAGTGGGGACATCTTCAAGTGGGCCTGTAGTAGTACCGTATCCCTCGTGTAGTTAACTACACACAGCAGTATTGTTCACACATGCTTCTAGGTGGACAGTGGCTGGATCATTGTATCCTGCTTGAAATAACCAACAGAGATTTTGTGGTGATTTCCACAACTGTGTTCTACACCCTACCTAACAAAGGGGACCTGAGAAAGCCAATTAGGTGCTCTCTTGACCAACTTGTACTCCGGCATGTGACAGCTTTTGTGCTATTTAATTCTCAGATTTCAATTTTTGGCATGTTTATTGCTGGTCATCTCATAACTGTAGGTTGTGGCAGGTGCTTATCAGGTCGAAACCTGTGGTGATTCAGTTTAAAAATGGCATGCTGCTTGTATGTGAAACTTTCAAAAAGGAAACTAATATAAAGTGCCAGGGTTTAACTTTACTATTAGATTCTTACCACAAATTCTATTGCAGCACTTGTCAAATAGAGGCGATAGGTGGTGAAGAAAGCATTCGCCAAAAAGCCACCAAGGAGAGCAAGGAGGAAGGCCGTTCCCATGAAATTGGTTACGATTTTTGCAGAGCTTGATGGAGAGTAGTGCATGAACTTTGAAAGGTATAGCACAAGGTTGCTTGCATTGGCCAGGAAAGCTAGATTCTCCAGTATCTCCACCACTAAGGTTTAACAAGATCACATAAGTAAGTCTTGTGTTCTTTAATTGCAGTATTAATATTAATATAAGATAATACAGCATATGCTGAACCCCTGTAACATAAAAGTTTCTTTCATCTTGTTGAATTTACAATATTTAAAATGTTTTTTCAGCAACAACCAAGTTCTGGATTTTTTTTATGACCCTGGAAGCATATAAAAGCAATACAGATAATGTGCTTTTAGTAATTAAAGCATACTACTAACCCAAGACAAAGGAGGCTGCAAGCATGCCACCATGATCGCCTCTCATGGCAGGCCTATTCCTCCAATCTAAATAGCCTTCGCATTTGTTTAACTGTTGTCTTTCTTCCTACAACAATGAAACAAGATCTAAATTAGATAAAAGTGGGGAAGCCAGGAGATAAAAGAAGAAATGGAATAAGAACCTATGATCAAGAATCCCACCATAGCAACTTTTATTATTATACAGAATATTTTAAAACTTGATAAAGAGTTCCTTGAATAAAAGGTAGTAGAGTTGTGAGTCATATATATAGACTGCAAAATATGTGGTCCAAACCTCAGAGAAATGTCTAGACGGGGTGATAATGACTATTCATATCCTCCTACATTGTCAATGTTGACAGTTTCTATTAATGAGACAGTAGATTGAAGGAGAAAGAGTGAGGAAGTAGTGGAGGTGTATACTTATCTATGATTACTTGGTTATAGTGAATCACACAGGAATTGAGGATAAAAATGAGAAGCAGAGTAGATTAGGAATTAAGACCTCCTGTGTGCACACTTGTTATGATTCAAACAGCTATGTTTTCCATTTTAGATCAGATTGTGTTATCACAGATTATTTGAACCTCTGTATACAGGTGTAAGAAGATGATTTTCTAGTAGATATTACTTGCAAAATGGAACCAGATGTGGTCTTAGATGATTGCCTGGCCAAACGTGCAGTATTGTGCTTGCCCGACGTATTTAACTTATGAAGGATGGCTATCAGAAAATGAGATAAATAAAAGAAACAAGTGGACTAGATTAAAGGAGGACGTAGTGGTATGATGTTGTTCTTGAAGGTGAAGTTAAGATCCTTTCTTTTTGGACATGACCCACAGCCACACTCACACCAACAATCACTCACGCTTCTAGTGGTAATGCTACTGTGTCTTAAAGCTAATCTTGAGAGATTAGTGCTTTTTCTACTAGAATTATCTATGTATTACCCTATTTTGGCTTTCCTACGTAGATAAATACACGCTTTTTCTCATATACTATATACAAGAAGTTGTTCCTGATTGGTTGGGTTAGGCTGCATGAATTCTAGTTTGGCCAAAAGCCATCTGATGTTGTATCACCGTCTATACATGTGATTTTTGTCTGCTTATGTTGTACTAGTGTTTTCAGCTTCAATCGTATCGCTTCTCACATGTCACAACAAGAGCCATCTTTAGAGTGTCCTATCGGTTCCATGGTGTTACTTTTTTCACCGGTTTTCCTTCCTAGGCCACCTCAAATTCCTTGCTTCCTTGTTCAGCTGATTACGTGGAGACATGCGGTTTGGAGATATCCAAATTGGGTGGCTTACAGCCTGTAGGATTGGTACCATACTTCCTAGCATTTACTTCAATGCATTGCCACCCTTCAAATAAAGAAACTGATAGCAAGGGATGATTGGTAAATTAGGCATTTTAGGCAACAATAAAGTCAATGAAATTACAGGGTGAGAAATCGAAAACCACTAAATGAGATGTATGTTTTATCTGATTAGAAATCATTTCGGAAAGTGATGGTTAGATTAATTTAAGTAATTAACTACTCATCTTTGGCATAATGTGGTGTCATCAAACTAGGATATTTCAACAATTTATGAATAACACATGTAGAGCATGATAATAAATGGTAGAAGTGAATGGATAACTAAGATCAGTTTTTGTTGTTAAAGGAATTGGGATGACAGAAAATTCCCACATTACGCCAGTAGCTCATCATATGAAAAGCTCATTTAAAGGATAAAACAATACTCTCCACATCTTGCCACTGCCTTTCCTCTTTCCCTTCTTTTTATTTGATTCAGTGCATTTTCAGCCGAAAGAAAGGTGAATATAGTGCCTCTTTATTTCAGCTTCAAAGCATTTTAGATTCTGATTCTCCTAAAATTTGTTGGTTGCTGTTTCATCTCATCCAGATATACTTCTGGATGGAATACTAGTCTCATCAGCACAGAATATATTGAGTCTTTTAACACTGTATATGATCACTTATGTAAGTTTTGTTTTAGGCAAAGAAAATGGAAAACAGCAACATGAATTGCTTCGAGTTGTGGAAATTGAAATAGTGCTCTAACACAGGACAACCAATGAGGCCAACATAAATCAAAATGCCTTGAATGTTGCGACACGAATAATTGCAAGACTGAAATACGTGGAAAGAAGCTAGAGGTTCAAATCTTGCAAATGTTTGGCCAACATAAAAAGATTGAAAGAGATGGCAGGAGTTGCCTTTAGGCATAGTGCCGTTTGCCTTGGGTTGGGAATTGGAATCACAACACTCACCAAAAACACAGGTAAATGAGTGTTGAGCCTCATGTGGTGGATGGAATGCCTGTTACGGGAAATTTAACTACCCACTCATCTTTCCTTTTCACAAATTGAAATTTTAGACATAACTTTAGACACTATAGGGAAAAAGATATAAAAGCTACCAAGTTTAAAATTTTGATAAAAATCATATATATGAATTTAATAAAAATTAAAATATATATTTTATATTTAATGAATTAACACAAATATAATAATTTTTATATTTTATATATATTTTATACAAAATATATATAATACGAATAAACAAATTATCGAAACTTCACTCCTATGAGTAGTGCTGGTGATGGTGGTGGTTCACTACTGTCATGTTGTGGGCCTGCTCAAACACAGTTCCGGACTTTTCTGGTGCTATTCCAAGACAAACTTTGAAAAGTGAGTTGATCACCGTTATATCGGGGTTTAGGGTTTCGTTTGAAATCTAGACAAAATCTCAACAGTTAAATTTTAAGATTTTACTTTGGAGTTTCGGTTCAAACTTATGATATATTTGGATAAATATTAATAAAAAAATATTTTTTTAAAAAAAATATATATATATATCTCTTATTTGAATAATTAAAATTAATAAAAAAATTCTAATAACCATTATTTGGATAAAAAAATAAAAAAAATGATTTATTATAACAAATTTTTTCAATTATAATTTTTTATTACTTGTAATTTTAGAACATTCCTCTCTAAAAATACTCAATTATTGTTTCATTTCTTTGTTTATCCACCTATACAACAAAACATTAACAATAATTATTATTATCATAAAAATATATACAATAACACTTGTACGAAAAAAAAAAATATTAAAACAAAATTTAATTAGAGAATTTGAGATATGAGGCATTTAATAATAAATCATACGTACTACAAATAATAATACTAATATTTTTTAATTACTCACATATATTAATTATTATAATACTAATATTTACTAATTAAGTTTGTGTGAAAAGCATACTAATATGTTTATAATCATAATCAAGTTAATTGGATCTCAATAAAACATTTTCATTTTCTCACTTTTCTTTCTATAATGTCTTGAAATTACCGACATCTCAAATTATAATATAGTATGTATAAAAATAAAAAATTTTAAGCTAATTTGACATTTCATAAATTTAAAAAATATGTCTATTCATATTCAATCATTTATAAAAATTAAATAAATAAAAATTATAAAAAAAATTTTATATTTAAAAAGACATGTGAAAATTACTTGAAAAAAGAGATAACTTTAAAAACTTATAGGAAGGGTTAGGTTTTTTTTGCTAAACTTTGGTATTAATAAAAATATGGATATTACAATCTTTTTATAAAAATAAAATTTTTTTAATTTTTATTTCCTTAATTTTTTTTTTCAAATTAAGATATTAAAAAAGTAAAGACTATAAAAAACCAAGGGTTATTGAATTTTTACATTTTTTTTCTTTTAAATTAAAAATTTATCCAAACAAAAAAATTTTTTTTATTTCTATTACTTTCCTTTATTTTCTTTTTCTTTCATTTGCTTTCCCTCGATCTAAATGTACAGTTAGAATAAACAACGTAGCGTTTATTGGATGAAAGAAGATTACTTCTTTTTTTGTAGTCTAAAACAAATAAAAGAAAAAAAAACCATTTATTTCCAGCGAGTACACATTTATGGCAGGTGGGTAATTTCTAGTTTGCACTTTCTTCTATTATTATTAAAGGGCATTGGGTTGCCGATTTTTAAATTTTGGGAGAAAATTTGATTTAAAAAAAAGTGATATTAAAAAAAATATGATTTTTAAATTTTTATTGATTTAAAAAAAATATAAGATTTTTAAATTTAGTTTATAGGAATAGAAAATTATTTAATAAAGTTTTTATTATATTATCTTTAATAATACATAAATAATATATTATTTTCATTAAAACTAAATAATTTTAAAAATAATTTTTTTTATATTTTCAATAAATATAATCTTATAATTTTAATTATTATCTTAACATTGATTGGCTTTACGTAAAAGAAACACGTAAATTGACTTTCATGATAAGATTGATGTGGGGATTGAAAGGGGTGATAAACTTCTTTCTCGGGTTTTTGTAAGTAGAGTTTTCGAAACAAATTTTATATATAATAATATTAAATAAATATATTTTAAATTTTATATGAAATAATATTAAGTAAAGATATTTTACTTTTTATTTTTTTATATTTTTAACAAAAATTGTGTTTTTTATTTTAGAAAAGTCAATTTTTTCAATAAAAACTATATTTTTATTCTAGAAACGTTGATTTTATTAAATTTTGAAAAAATTAATATTTTTAATAAAAATTACGTTTTTATCATAAAAATGTTGTTTTTATTAAATTTTAAAATATATATTTTTTATGTTTTTAATAGATATTGTGTTTTCTATCTTAGAAATGTTATTTTTATTAAATTTTAAAAAAAAAATTTTGTATTTTTAATAAAAACGGTGCTTTTATCTTAGAAACATCTTTAAATTTCATGGATTCTTAAATTTTAAATATAATTTGAAAATCATTTTTCTCTTAAATCACTTTCCCTTCCTTAATTACTATATTTTATCAATTACTACATTTCAATAATAAGAAATGTTATTGATATTAAAAATATAAATATTATTTTGTTATTAATTTTACGATAAATTATGTTTCATATATTACAAACGTAGCAATTCCAAAACTATAAAAAAAATTCAAAATTAAAAATTTTCACAATCAATTATGTTTTTCTTTTAAAAACATTATTTTTAATTAATTTTTTCATAATATATTGTAACATATAATTACATTTCTAACATAATAATGTTGTATAAATAAAAAAATTTTGAATTTATTTCAATTTTATTTTATATAAGAGCAACTACATTTATAATTATGAAATATTATTTTTCTAAGACTTTATAAATTGAAAATAAATATTTAAATTTATAAAAATTCAACACACATGATCATTGTTAAGTACCCAATCATATGACTTTGAATGTAACTTCACATGTTAAAATGGATATCAACTTATCATATAATTATATTAATTTTTAATAATAAAATAGATAATAAAAAAATATTTTTAAAAATAAGAATGTGATAAATTTTATATTCCGTCAAAAATCTATAAAAACCTCAAAAAGAATAGGGATTTTGACTCAGGGCTATCATTCTCATTTTCAACACTATTAAAAATTTTTAAAAACCTCAAAAATTAAATTCTGTTAACTAAATTAAAAAATAAAATTTTGATTAATAATTTTACTTTTTCTCGAAACAAACACCCCCGTATTGATTTCTCAAGGAAAGTGAACTTTTGATTTTTTTTTTTTTTTTTCTTTTGGATTTGTCATCCCACACCTACTTTGAACTCAACTTGGCGAAGGCTCAACCTGAGGGCTCCAAAAGCTCGCAGCCTACATGACTAGACTTTGGACCATTCGATGGTGCCTTATCGGTGCTAGAAGTTTAAGGTTTGGTTAAGATTATGAGTAGGGGAAAAATGAATAGAAAATAAATATTTATTTATATATATAATGAGTTTTAAAATATTATTTATTAAATTTAATAAATAAATAAATAATAAAATTTATTCATAAATTTTTTATCGAATGTTTATTTTATTTATATTTTTATATTATAAACAAATCAAATATAAATAATTTTTTATATCTCTAATTATTCGTTTAAATAATAAATTTTAAAATATTTTTTGTGATTATTTATTAAAATTAATTAATAAATAAAAATTAAATATATTTATGAATTATTAATTGTTTATATTCCTAACTAT